ATCTGTTGGTCATACCCACTTGCCCAAAAACATGACTTTTTTTAATTTTTTTATTTTATATATACTGTTCTTCATCCAATAAAATGTCCAAGAGCCAATCAAGGTAGAGGGTTACTGAATAAGGTGGTTGAACGGACATTAAGTGAGAAGGTAAGATGTGCAAATTATGAGTATATATACAATAGTAATGGTAGGGCTTATACTTAAAGAGGTTAAGATCATAGTGGTTGGGAAAGTATCCACTCAGGAGTCTGTTTCACAAACCAACACACCCTCATAAGTGTGTGTGTGTGTGTGTGTGTGTGTGTGTGTGTGTGTGTGCAAAAATCCAGATAAAAATAAAAAATATATCTGTAAAAGGACAATATAAATAAAAACAAGTATTATTTACTGTGTTTTGTCCTCTGATGGACTTTGTCAAGACATTGTTAAGTTTTCAAAAATTTTAAATCTGATGTCTTCATTCTGCTGACAAATACATGTCAAAAAATAGAATCCTTACATTTGCTTGGATAAGGTCCATCTTAAAACGAAATGAGTTGGTAAAGAATAGTTTTCCTTTTGTCTTTATTCTGATTTTATATATATGTGTGTGTGTATATATATATATATATATATATATATATATATATATATATATATATATATATATATATTAAGGAAGGGATCATAATTTATTATTAAAATAGAATACAGAATTATCACAGCGTTTAAAATTTAACACACCTTTCAGCCAACACCACATATATATATATATATATATATATATATATATACACTTTGTTGTACAAGTCTAACACAGTACTTCAGTTTATTTTTTATTGTTTCTCTGGAATACATACAAGTATTTTATTTTTGGGACTTAATTCAATGTTAAAATTGTTCAAAAGTTTGTTGGTTTAGAGCACTTTTGGTTAAACGGCCATCAACCTTTGGACAATTTTTACATTCATTAAGTCTAGGAAAGAAAACACCTGTATGTCTGCAAGAGAAACATGATAAAGAAAACTCAGTCTTGTTCGACAAAACATGTATAAAAGAGGGATTGCTACCCAAATCTGCGGTTATACATACGCTGTGGTATGTTAGTTAATATATATAACCATTTGGAGATGTCTGTTTATTAACATAACCAGACAATTTATAGTTAATATAAAATACCACAAAATATTTGCACACAAGAAGAAACAAAAACAGTTTTATAACAACAACGTTTATATTTATTTTTGTGTAATGATGTATATGCGTAGAGGTTACTATTTTGTTGGTGTTATGTCCCTTTGACTGAATTAAAGTTTTACTGAGGAAATTGAAATATTTTTATCTGAACTCACAAAAGTTGAATGGATTATAAAGCTGAGAAATGCTGAATAAACTTTGAGCTTTACAAGAGTATTTCAAAGAGAGAAGTTCTTGTTACTTGTTTGGAAATGTTTTGTATGTTTATAATGTAGTTTGGAAAATTTTGTAGGTACGTGCATGTGTGAATATATTTTTAATGTCTGACCATACATGGTCAAGATGGAGTCCTTTAAGGTTACATCTTCACAGGAAAAAAGAAGAGAAGAGAGAGTGAGCAAGTTTGTCTCTGCTATTTATAATTAATGTAATCATGTGACAGGCTCCCAGGAAAATGGCAGGAAAACTTGACTAGGTCACACGCTGGAGAAATATTTGTACATGAGCAGATTGCAACACCCACTTGTGTGTTTATTGACCAATTAGAAGCTGATATTTCCTGAAAATCTGTATGAAGCTGGGTAAGCTTTTGATCCTCTTTTTGCACAGATTTGTACAAAATTCAACACTGATAAGAAAATGGTCGCAGGATGCTAAACACACACACACACACACATAACACTTTTTCTTTCTTCGAAAATCTTGTTCTTTTATTGTTCTCTCTCCTTAATAGTATTTTTTTCTTATTCTTTAACACTCAGTAACCTCTTGCATCTTAGTGTCTTTATTGCCTTGGGTTGAAATGATTAAAAAATATTTTTAAACATTATATTTATATCTGTTGGTGTTTTCTGTCTGTTCATAGCTAAGTCTTAAGCATCACCTGACCATGTGACCTGATAATGCTTAAAGCTTGAAACAAACAGTCAACATGCAGTACATTTTACAGCAGTTAACACTCTATCCCTGATATTAATCACATTCACCTCAAAATATATCTGTAACTTTTATCATTTCACCCCAACAAAGCCATTAAGATGCAGGGGGTTACTGAGTGTGAAAGGATATAAGAAAAAGAAAAATATTATGGAGCAAGAGCAATAAAAGAACAGAAATTAAGAAGACAGAAGATTCATATTGCATTTTAAATTTTTCAAGCTCAAATTTGAATGGAAAGCAAGAATCCAAAAGAAAGTTCTACAAGTCAGTAGTGTACTAGAAGAAACTGTTAGCATAGAACTTACATCTAATCTTTTCAATGGTTAAATGATGAGACCTAACTGCCAATCTAGTCCTGCACTTTTGACAAGAATAACAAACATTGTGTTTGAAGGAAAAAAAAATAAAAACAGAATAGCCACCAACAGATTTCTAGAAAATAATACTTTTAAGGTAAGCAGTCATCATAATTAAAATCTTTCTAAAAGATATTTTTTAATAATGTTCTCTCACTACAAAGGTTAGGAGCCACTCCAGGTACAGGGTTACTGAAGGATGTTCTTCTATGGAAAGTAAGAAGTGCAGATTATGAGGATATGTGGAAAAGATAATGGTCAACTATAGACATGAAGAGGTTAAGATTGTAGTAGTTGGAAAGCATCCTCTTGGGAGACGGTTCCACAAAATTGTGGTTTTTCAGAAAAAGTTGTCTAAGTGGAATTTCCTTCTTACTAACAGAATACAAAGGGAATGTGGACGGTTCATCCCAGTGTATGTCAAATGACAGGTCTTTGCTGTGAATGTTATAATTGGTTGATCTAAGGAATGCGGCCCATCAGAACATTTGCCATAGAAATAGTGATAGATCGATTGATTGATTTTTTATAGCTTATCTTATTTTGTAGGTTATTTAAAATAGAATATTTTTAGATTATAAGAAAATCTGCTAATTAACTCCTACCTGTGGGAGGGGAGAATAGGTGAATTCATAACTTTACCAAGGGTATTTGCACATAAGTGAATATAATAAACCCAACCAGAATTGGAACTCAGATCTACAATTTCCAATTCTGAGAGCATTATCCATTACACCACCTGCACATCCAAGCTTACAGTACCTAGTATTTCCAAGCTATCATCCATCTAGGTACTAACCAGGTTTAATGTTGCTTGACTTTGGTGATCATACAAAAACCAGTGTTTCAACATGATATGGTCGTAAGTCAATAGCGGCAGAATAGCAAGAGGCTTGCAATATTTCATATGTGGAAGGGAGATAGCAAAGGGGAAAGAATTCATCACCCATAAGGTTGTCAGTTATGTACCATACGCGATATACACTTAAATGATCATGTAGCTTTCAATACATGACTGACGAGTCAGATTTTTTCCCAAAGTTGTTTGCCATTTCTTTCTGTGGTAGACCAGTTGCCATCCAAGGCTAGAGAACGCGGTCTGTCCTGCTATTTACACATAGTTGGAGGGAGAAGAAGAGGATGGATACCTTTCCCAAGGGTATTAATATGTAAGTGAATGTAATGGATTCTACTGGAATTCGAACTCGGCTCTCTGATTCCTCAATTCGAGCCGCTATCCATCAAGCCTCCACTGCAAGGTTGTAGAGATGCTTTTGAAATCTATCAAAAGTGAACAACTCCAGCCCAGATACGGCAGCAGTAGTCTATTTACAATTTTATATATATATATTTTTATATATATATATATATATATATATATATATATATATATATATATATATAATTTATATATATATATATATATATATAATTATATATATATATATATATATAAAATTATATATATAAAACATTATATATATAAATTATACACATATATATATATATATATATATATATATATATATATATATATATATATATATATATAATTTTATGTACCTCTGAAGAAAAGTGATATCTCAGATCTAAAATGCATTTTTAAAATTAAAAATATTTCTTGAAGTTTAGATTTTAGATTTTATTTCAAGCTAATAGAATAAATTTAACATTTCCAATAAGCAAAATATTTTTCTCGATTTCAACTTGAATTTACATTGATTGGAATGATTTTTTTTTTAATTGTTAAAAGAGGCTGCAACCGTCCAGTTAGAAAAAACAGTCAATACCAATATATGAGAGAAGGAAAGCTTTGGTTTTGTTGACTATGTCACTATTTTTTTCAAGCTTAGCTTTAGTCATTTTCTTCACCTGCAAACTGTGGTGAAAATGGTCAGCTTGACCGTAACAGAAATGAGAAGAACCATTAATTTATTAGTCAACTTCAAAAGAGACATGAGTGGACTGTGTATGGTTTGGCAAATGCAATTACAACAAACTCTCCTGAGAACGCGCCACTTTTATCTAAGGCCTATATTGAATATTCATAGCATCCTTAAGTATAAAAGAAGTCTTAGTCATGAGAGATCAGTAGCTGTCTAAATGAAGCAACAAAGAAAAAAAAATTTTTTTGCTTTTTTTCCTAATACTAAAGAAATATTTTTGCCAGTAACACGAGAAAAGGAAAAGTTTCAAAATACAACGCCATGTTGTGCACTGAAGATAGGAAAAAATTAAAGTTTTAAGAAAATAAAGCTATTATATATATATATATATATATATATATATATATATTATTGGATGTGCTGTGGTCTAACCACCACTGCTGCTGCTATGTGTTGTCCCTATGACCATAATGGGTTACAGGACTCATGATCATGATGTATCTATCTATCTAGCTATCTATCAAGCTAGCTAGCTATCTATCACTTGATCTGTCTGTCTTGCCCAAGACATGCCACTGCTGTTGTGGCTGCAGTACATGTGGTGTCCCTATGACCATAATGAGTTACAGGACTCATGATCATGATCTATCTATCTATCTATCGCGGTTTCTTCATATCTATCTATCTATCTATCTATCGCGGTTTCTTCATATCTATCTATCTATCTATCTATTGCGGTTTCTTCATATCTATCTATCTATCGCGGTTTCTTCATATCTATCTATCTATCTATCTATCGCGGTTTCTTCATATCTATCTATCTATCTATCTATCGCGGTTTCTTCATATCTATCTATCTATCTATCTATCTATCGCGGTTTCTTCATATCTATCTATCTATCTATCGCGGTTTCTTCATATCTATCTATCTATCTATCTATCTATCTATCGCGGTTTCTTCATATTCTATCTATCTATCTATCTATCTATGGTTTCATTCTTCATATCTATCTATCTATCTATCTATCTATCGCGGTTTCTTCATATCTATCTATCTATCTATCTATCCTATCGGTTTCTTCATAATATCTATATTTATATCTATCTATCTATCGGGTTTCTTCATATCTATCTATATATCTATCTATTGCGGTTTCTTCATATCTATCTATCTATCTATCGCGGTTTCTTCATATCTATCTATCTATCTATCTATCTATCGCGGTTTCTTCATATCTATCTATCTATCTATCTATCTATCTATTGATCTGTCTGTCTTGTCCAAGACACACCACTGCTGCTATGGCTACAGTACATGTTATACTCCTACAAACATATTGGTTTAGTGAATTTATTTATAATTGTGATATGTATCATTATTTTAAATCAATTCCTCCTACAGAAATCATTTCATGCCCGAAATGCATTGACAAATTGAAGGGAAAAATGGCATTGACAGTAGTTAGGAATTAATTCAATCATTATACCATTATAACAGACATATTGGTATGGTAATAGTTTACTATAGAAATATATTTCAAATTGTGTTAATAGAATTGCAGATGATTTCCCCAAAGAATAAATTTTGTCTGTACACCCATACCTAATGATTTATGACAGTATCTATAGAGTAGTTCACAGGTATATACTGGGTGTAACAGCAAAATTATACATATATATATATATATATATATATATATATATATATATATATATATATATATATACGGTGTAACAGCAAAATTGTTCAAATTGTGAGACAGCATAGAATAATTGTCCCTCCCACAAAATGTTTAATATCTAAAACCCAATAAACTAAATGAGTTTCTTTTTTCCAGGTTTTCAGATAAAATTTTCAGCTATCTTGACACCATTTGTCATAAGAATCACTGAAAAACTCTTTGAGCTATTCAGCTAAAACGAGAACAGGTTAAAAGCATTTTGTGTCGCACGCACTGTCTTCCCAACTGAGCAATGGTGAGGCAAAAGATCATTCAGACCTTCAGTAATGGTAGCGACATTTATACTCTGGCTTCCATCTTCAAAGTCCATTCAAGAACTCTTCACCAATGGTGAATAAGTTTAAAAAAGAAGGAACAGTAGACAGGAAAATTGGATCAGGAGGTAACAAGAGGAAGAGGGATCATCATTTCAACTTACAGCAAAAGAGACCAATTAGAAAAGATCCAACTCAATCCATGAAATGTTTGGCATGTGAGAAAGGAGTTTCAACTATGACAGTCCAAAGAGCAGTGAAAAAAAAGTCTTGAAAATGAATTAAATTGTACATGAAAAGTGTGAGGTACCTTGTTACTCCAGGACAGAAAGTTAGAAGGTTAGAGAGGGTAAAGATAATCTTGAATAAGTTGAAAAATGATCCTGGAATTATATATGTTTGAAATTTATTTCAATTTTTCATGAGTTTCTGATTCTTGGCTATGGTTAATTAATGCTGAACATGCCATTTTCAGTTATGATTGATTTCATCACGATTCTTTTGTTAAGATTGGAGAGTAATTATACATTCTTATTGCTCAAAGTAGAGTCCAATAGTGTTATAAAAACCTCGGAGAATTACAATATGATATCTTTAACCATTTCTAAGATACAATAGTTCAAAGCTTAATCTAACAAATAGACAATTTTGCTTTTAAACAATTTGGATAATTTTGTTATATAGTCACAAATATAAAAGATAAATTGTATCCATCAGGAGTTCTAAACTACTGATAGGGTCACCCTTGATGGCAAGGTCTAAGACGAGGACCCAGGCTACTCGCACTTCTCGCCTGTGGAATTCCCTCCCCTTTTCTTGTTTTCCTGATAGCTATAATCTCCAACTATTCAAATGTAATGTCAATCAATGTCTCCAGATGCCTTGATCTATCCCCTAACCTTCTCTTCATCCTTTTCTCTATCACTCCTATCTGCTCACAACCCAAATCCTCTGTAACCCCTTGCATGCCAGTGGCACTCCCACCTTGCTTGGGGTGAAATGCTTAAAAAAAAAAAAAATGTATGACCAACCCCAAAGACCCCAACAGTGGAATGAACAGATGATGATTACGACAGATCTCAACAGATGAACCAGAAAATGAAGAGAGCTACAGATGACTGGCATGCTACAGAAGGCACCATTCGAAATTATAACAGAGTCATCAGGAATTCAATTGCAGTTGCATAACTGAATTCTGCATGTCTCATTCCATATTTGCCGCAGAGGGAGGTCATGAAATCGAGTGTGTGGGTCACTTTCTGGCAAGTTGAGGTCCAAACAAATTCAAACCATCAACATTTTTCTTCTACTCTGATTTCCCCTCCAACCATTACAAAGCAAAACTGCAAAAAGAAATGAATGATAGGGACAGGTTTTGGTGAAACTGGAAGCTTCTAGTCCTTTCTCTGCATGTTGGTGGTGAATTTAGTCAGCAGCACTATTACCATAAAGGAAGCAATCAGCAAAGAAGAAATTATCAGGAAGCGATCAGCAAAGAAGAAATTATCAGGAAACGATCAGCAAAGAAGAAATTATATTCTTGGAAAGAATATAAAACTGCCGATCATGATGACAATGACAAAACATAACAAATGATTAATTACAATACTTTCAGAGTGGCTTGCCCATGCCCCAATTTTGACTGACCAGCCTAACATTGTATTCCAATATTCAATCTAGTCAATGTGCACCAAAAACTAAGGAATGGTGTGCCACATGCTCACAAGGTAACACAATAAAAGCCAAATGCCATGTTGAGAAATAAGAACCCTGTTTCTCATATTATATGTAGGCATTTTATTCTGGTCTTTGCCTGCTCACCCGAGTTGATAGGTAGGTGATACTTGGAACAACTTCTGCTATGTCAACTTTTCCCCTACCAACTTCTTGTCCATCTACTCATCCTGATGTGTGGCTGGCAATATAAATGGAGGCTTTGGAAATTGCACAAGAACGACATGATAGGCCCATCTGTCTCTCACCAAAGGTGGACTAGAACTTTCCCTGAATGCAAACTTGACCGATATTATACAAATTGCGATTGGTAAATTGTCACCATTTTTCAACTGCACAGTAGGGTCAATTGGACACCATTTATAAGAAAAAGAGAAATTTGGAAAAGGTATGCTGTACTGCTTGACATTTGTACGAGAAGCTCCAGTACAAACATTTCAGAGTGTCTGTATATAAATCTGAGAGCAATACAGAGGAGGAGTCTAATGGTGATTTTGTAGGTCACTCTGATCATTCTAAGAAAAGAACTCCTGAATTTGTTGGTGAGGACCTCAAACTCAACAGGAAAGCCTTGAGCAGGTAAGGCTGCCCTGGATTAAGCGGGTGGCTGCTGGATGACTCTGCATCTGACAACAGGTCTCGGCATGATGCTACACAAGCAGGAGAACCAGTCATGGCTGTCAGACAATTTCTCCAGCCACATCACCCCTTACATCTGGCCACCTAACTCCCCAGACTGCAATCTACTTGATTATCATGTGTGGGGTGCAGTTGAGTGAGAGACCAACAAAACTCCTTGTAACACCAAAGATGAAAACAAGGATTATGGCAGCATTCAGCAACTTATACAAGGAGACTGTCCATAAGGGATGCAGGAGATTCTGAAGTTGTCTGGAGGCTGTAAGTGAATCCAATAGCGATCATATTGAATAAATTTACTCTTTAGTATTTCAATTTTGTGTAATTTTGGTAAATATATCTGTTAAAATGAGATGTCAGTGTTCATTTTTGCATAATGTAGATGCCAGTTTATCCATTGCATCCTATATGCATATATCTATGTATATATAAGCCACTTGGTTGAACCAAGTTTTCATCACCCCATTATATTAAATGAATTTGGATCTGAAATTTCCACAGTATAATGTTTGATCTATTTGATTATTGGAGAAGCATTAGGTTAAGTACATTGACAATGAAGGAGATTATGTTGAAAGATAAATATTTTTTTCTATAAAATCAAAGGTTCCACACTATTAGGCTGGACATATTGATGTACTTAAGCATATATATTGTGATAGGGGTACTATTAAGCTCTCAGGCTGTTCAAGGAACACTATAAAAATCTGATCTTTGGCCACTTGGTCAGATTTTAAGAAGAAGGTTGGGCCATAATTTAACCTGTGGTTAAATTATGGCCTGACCCTCTTCTTAAAATCTGACCAATTTAACCTGTGGTTAAATCATTCTGGCATAATTATTCCTTAAAGAATTTCTTCTTTCTTTTAAATAACTAACATTATAATACTTTCACTTTGTTTTTAATCATTTCAACCCAAGGAAGCCACTAAGATGCAAGTGGGTTACTGAGAATGAAAGGATATGAAAAAAGAAAACCATTATTAAGGAGAGGAAACAATAAAAGAACAGGAAATTACAACTGACATTGCATTTAAATTTTTGAATATCAGACTTGACTGGAAAGCAAGAAGCTGGAAGAGAGTTTCACAAGTGAGAAATGTGAGAAAAGAAACGGTTAGCATAAAACTTAACATCTAGCCATTTCAAGTATAAGATGACGAGACCAATCTCAAGGAAATTTCATCAGAACAGTCACCAGCAAAACATATTTCATATTTCACAGATTTGAACAGAAAAGAAAATGACGTCAAAATTGGTGAAAATTTTTTCATCTTTTAATAGTCAACTGTGCTTAGTTTAATTTGTAAAATATATAAAATATAGGCAGAAAAAAGCAAATGTTGATAAGATAGTGAGGGTCATAAAGCACTGCCCAGGGCCCACAATCAGGCTTACCCTCCCAAATTGGAGGATTAAGTGGTTGTATGCACCGGCCTTATCAAAAACAACTCAAATGTTATGAAGTGTGCTACCTTTTGTATTTTATCATTTCAGTGGTATTCATTTATCTTGTATACTGAGAGCTACTCTACCCTTACTGCTTGGACATTTATATATTGCTTACACCTTAGCTATGCTAATTAGGCAGTCATTTACATATCACTACATCAAGTTATTGAGAATCAGATTTATTTTCACTGGATGCTCGAAAAAGCCTGGGTTCATATCAGTTTCACTAAGAAATTTCAGTGAAAACAAACAGCATTTATGATAGTCAGGTGTTATAACTTAACACCTGCAAAGGTATATATATATATATATATATATATATATAAACCAAAAAACAATAAATAAATAAAAAATCATTTTGGAGCTAAATGAGAATCTAATCCCCTACTTTCTCCAATCCAGCATATCGTCTTCATCCCTCAAAAACTTTAGTATTCGCATTGGGC